TGTGCTGTCTGAGATTTTTTCAGAATAATTTGGAGGAGTTGAGGTGGGGAGGAATCTAGAGGAAACAAGACCGGCCATGAGTCGATCGTTATTGGACCTGAGTGACATATTCCCGTGTATTTATTACATAAGTCACTGTCCGTTTGTATTTGTTCAAATGTTCCATAATAAAAACTTTAAAAATTGCAACCACATGCACTGCCACCCTTCTCTGCTCTTTTTCCACCGAGTTCACCACCATCAGGCGTGGTACAGACCGTTTTACTCCCTCACTCTTCGTTGTCCGTTTCTCCGCCCCAGAAATCAGGCTGCCCTGAAAGGCAGGCACGTCTCTGCCACTTTTCTTCAGAGCTGCACTCCCAGCACCTGGAGCAGAACTGGGCCCAGAAAAGCAGGCGCATCAGCGAAGGAACGAGTGTCAGCGTGCAGATGGCGGCCTGGAGGCTCGCGGGGGCAGCAGTGGAGCAAGAAGGTGGGTAAGCACTGAAGGATGGTGGAGGACTGCCTGCCGGGCAGATTGGACAGGAGACAAAGATCTGCTTACGTTCCAGAGTAAAGAGAAGGTTTCTCTTTCTGGAAGGCAGGATGGGGAAGTCCCAGCAGTGCTGTGTGTGTGGTGCCTGAAATTCCTAATTTCAGAGTTCTTCTGAAACGCACCCGGCCGCCTGTGCAGTGCCACCTGCATGCCCGTGGAGATGGAACTGGAGGAGCCAACGCAGTGCATCGAGGCGGCTGCGAGTAGCAAATGCTCTTTGCCTCTGACTGGGGGCCTGTGCTTCCTGCAGACACATATGTGTGAGACTGTGCTAGGCTGCCTTGTCAGCTTGCAAGTAGAACAAAATCTCAAAGCCTTCACTGTTTCTGATTTAACACACACTCATTTCATACCACACGCACACAAAGTGGATACCCTTTGCACACTATGCATCAAAGAAGTAGATGCCCATTTTTTCCCATTCAGACAGAAAAATTAAATAATCATTTCATTCCATATTATACACAAAAGACAGAGACTCATCTCGTACCACACATACCAAAAAACAATACAGCCGCCCGTAACACACCATGGACAGACACGTGATACCATCTCATACCAGACACACACAAAGTAGATGAACATCAGGCTATGCACAACGGCATCAGATACCCATCTCTCTCTGTCACACACACACATGACACTGCCTCACACTGTGCATGTACAAAAATGTGCCCATCTCACACTATACACACACACAAAAGTGAGAAAATCAGCTCCTTCCACTTCTTTAACAGGCTGAATGGGTCTAGGCAGCTAGGACGAAACAACCACAGAGGCATAGGTGGGAGGGGCCCGCAGGCTGGGTCCAAGTACCTGTTGACTCTGGGGTGTATGTGAGCCCCTCAGAGCTGGCCTTCCCCAGACTCTGTGGGAGGGAGACAGAGGAGAGGATGGGACAGGCGACCCCAAGGGCTTCTTTCTGGTGGGGACCAGCTGGAGCGCAGGCCGCAGGGACCAGAGCTGTTCTGCGTTTGGGTAGACAGGCTCACGTTCCAGTGCAGACTTGTAAACTGTTTTCAGTGGGCCGACTCTCAGATTGGCCTCCCATATGGGTAAGGATGAAGTCACACTGTCCATTTTGAGGTGGCCTGAGAATCCGGATTCTGATTTGCTTACTCAGTTCCCTGCCATGGGGTGGTGTTGGAAGCAGCTCTGAGCAGGCATGAGTGAAGGTGTGGACACCAGGGGGAGGGTGTGCCTCTGGAATCGGACCGGCCCAGGTGGCTCCCTCCTGCCCTGGTGTGCATGGGTGGGGAAGTGGGCCACCCTGTGGAGAACCTGCAGGGCAGGCGGGGCCAGAGGCATGGCAGAGGCTGCCATGGAGGGGCGCAAGGCTGAAAGGTCCCCATCCCACTCACACACTTCTATCTTCACCTGCAACCATGTGCCAGCCACATCCCACTCCAGGGATTCGGGTGTGGGCAGACCGGCTCCTGCCCTGACATAGCTGACATTCTCTTGAGAGGAGCAGACAAAGACAAAGTAAAAAACAAACAGAATGGGGCCACCATCGACCACCTCATCATGTAAGGTAAGATTTTTCCAGGATGTTATCCTCAGCAAGGAAAGTGTTGCCTTTGCTGCAGTCTCAGCAAAGCAATGGCTCTCAGTTGCTTAATTTTGGACAAGATACTGTTTAGGGAAGACACATTAGCCTGAAAACGCCTCAGCTAATGCTACTTCGGGATGCTGATAGGAGTCTATAATTGGTTAAGAAAAAAGGAGATAAAGAAATTGAAACACAGATTTAGTTATAATTGTGTGTTGATTGTTATTTTAAACAAGCCTTTAAAGATAATTTTCAAAAGCAGGACACTAGGTGGTTTTTGTGAAGAGATCTTGTCTTCAAGATGTGAGAGTCCCCAAGGTGTGCAGATGGATTCTGGGCTCAGAATGACCACTTCTGTGGGTGGGGTTACACCTGGATCCAAAAGCTGAACAGCTTAGATGCTTATGTTGAAGATACTTGTCCAGAATGAAATAAAACCATCTCATTAAATGTGAGAGGAAAAAGTCATTCTTTCCAAATGAACGCGCTTTGCACATTACGTGAGTTTTTAAAACTAAACTTCTTATTTTGAGATAATTGTAGATTCAGATGCAGTTGTAAGGAATAATACAGAGATTCCTTGTATACTTTACCCAGTTTCCTCCATAGATAACGTCTTGCAAAACGGAAACATACGGTATCACAGCCATGAGACTGACCTTGATACAACCCACAAGAATAAGAAATCTTATTCAGAATTCTCCAGCTTCACTTGTGTGTGTGTGTACTTAGCTTGACTGTATCCCATGTGTAGATTTGTGTATCCACCGCAGCAGTCAAGTACAGAACATTTCCATCACCATGAGGATCTCTGCTGTCTTCCTGTTATACCACCTCCCTCCCGCTCCCCCAATCCCTGAAACCACTAATCTGTTCTCCACTTCTAAAATTTTATCTTTTCAAAACTGTTATACAAATGGAATCACACAGTATGTAACCTTTTGAGCTTGGCTTTTTTTTTCCCCACTTGGCATAATTATGCTGAGATTCACCCAGGCTGCTGAGGGTATGTCCACTCCCACCGAACACCATTCCATGGTGTAGATACACCACAGTTTGCTTAACCATCCATCCACTAAAAGACATCTGGGTTGTTTCCAGTTTTTGACTATCACAAATATGGCTGCTATGAACATCTGGGTACTGATTTTTGTGTGAACATAAGTTTTTAGGGTCATATGATAATTGCATATTAGTTTTATAAGAAACTGCCAACCTGCTTTTCATAATGGCTGTAACATTTTATATGCTTGTCAGCAATGTATGAGTGACCGAGTTGTCCACAGCCTCGCCAGCATTTGATGTCATTATTTTGTAGTTCGGCCATTCCGAAAGGTGTGTAGTGTTATCTCATTGTCACTTTAACTTGCATTTTCCTAATGGCTCGTGGTGTTAGCCATTGCTCTGTTCCCATCTGTGCATCCTCTTCAGTGAGATGTCTCTTCATGTCTTTTGATCATTTTCTAACTGGACTTTTGTTGTTGTTGTTTTTTACTGTTGAGTTCTGAAGCCTCTTTACATATTCTGGAAACGAGTCCTTTGTTGGATACGTGGTTTGCAAATATTTTCTCCCAGTCTATGTCTACAAAAACTTTCTTGATAGGAACTATGTTAGACCTATAGATCAATCTGGGGAAAACTGACCTCTTCACTATGCTGAGTCTCCCTATCCATGAATTCAGTCTGTCCCTCCATTGTTTAAGGTCTTCGTTGATTTCTTTCATTACTGTTGCTTAATTTCTAGCGTACAAGTCCTGAGTGCATTTTGCTGAGTTTATACCCAAATATTTAATTTTCTCTGAAGTAATTGTGAATGGTGGTGTATCTTTAATTCTGGTTTCCACGTGTGCGTTGGCATATAGAAATGAGACAGATTGCATCTGTGGCTCTTGCATCCCTCAACCTTGCTGAGCTGCCTAAGAGCCCTAGAAAGGGGGAGCCGCCCACACAGCCATGAGGGAGGGTCAGAGACGTGGAGAGGAGCACGGGTGCAAGGCCTAGCATCCTGTCCATTTACGTTAGCCCAGGGGAGACCACAAGTGACCTCGGGAAGAGCAGTACTGGGGGAGTACTGGGGAGGGGCTATCCGAGGTGGCCTGCTGGGTGGGGAGGAAGCTGGAGAGGAGACTGCCTGCCCTAGGGTGTTCTCCGCGAAGAGAGAGAGACTGACGCCACCACTCTTCTCTGCCTTCCAGCACACAGGTCTCTCCATCTGAAACAAACAGAAACCTGTGTTTCCTCGCTCTGCCCCAGCTGTTTTCTCAACTGTAAACGGCAGATAATAACCCAGTGGGGAGGCTGCCTGTCCCCTGGCCCACCCAAGGTTCAGCGCTCTGGCGCCACCCTTTACCTGAGCAGAAGGTCAGGCTGGACTGGCCTGGCCCTTCCTCCTCCGCCAGCACCACCTCTGCCTGCTCCCCACTTCCTGCTTCCCTTCAAGGCCGAGTCTAATGACTAGTGTGGATCGGAGGCTCTTGGCAAACTGACCCCAGCCTCTGCTCCCAGGCTGGCCTCCTACTAACCCTCTCTGTGACTTGTTGGGACATCAGGAATTGGGGGAGGGGGGTGGGCGAAGGGGACCTTCCCAAAGACCCGGACTTTCCGCTGGGCAGAGTGACTTCTTGGCGCCCTCTCCTGCCCCTACTCGCGTGGGCGTGTCCACCCCACAAAGAGGCAGTGACCCGGCTTTGCCCCTGCGAGGGGACTCTGTCTCTGGTTTTGTGTCGGAGACTTCCATCCTGGTCAGAGGGGGAGGGTCCAACTTCACGACCTGTCCTTTTCGCACCTGGCGGTGCGGTGACTCCGTCCCTCGGGGCGGAGACTGACTCCGCCCGCCCCGCCCGGCGCGCCTGGCCCCACTCGAGGGCGGACGCGGCGTCGGCGCTGCGCTCCTGCAGCCGGCGAACCCGGCGCGGCGATGTCAGGGCCGGCGGGGGACAGGCCCGGGGCCGCCGAGACGCCGATCTTGGGCGCGCTGCGGGGCCACCGTGTCTATGCGCGCCGCTGGGTCTTCCTGCTGGTACTCAGCCTGCTCAGCTGCTCCAACGCCACGGTACGCGGGCGAGGGCGGGTTCGGGGCGGGGTGGGGGGTGCAGGGCGCGGCCGAGGCCCCGACCCAGTCGGAGCCCCGGACCCGCCTCCCGCCAGGATCTGCGTGCTCCTCTCACCCTCCGGGGCCCCGGTGCGCCCAGGGCGCCTGTCTGCTCCAGGGCTCGGGTCTGCGGGGACTCCGACCGACCACCGACCGGACATTGGGACCACGGGGCTGGGCGGGGGAGTCGGCGACCTGAGCCAGCGGGTCCTGCAACCACGCGGATGTGGAGGCGCCTGGAAGGAGAGCCCCTTCTGTTGGCTGTGACTGCGCAGGGAGAAAAGGGGCAGGTGTCTGTCCTCGTGGCTGAGCCCAGGTCCTGTGACCTATGGTGGTTTTGAAAGGGTCCCTCTGCTGCGCCAGGACGGGCTAGAAGTCACTGCACAGCTGACAAGAGGTCCTCCAGTGGTCCCCCACTCCGCCTGGCATAGACCTTCATAGTCTGGCTCCCGCCCTCCTGCTTCAGCCCCAAACCCTCAGGGCAGGTCAGGTCAGGGTCCGCTCTGCCTGCTTACCTGTGCCCAGGACACCCTCCTGGGTTTCTGACTCAGGTTTTTTTGTTTTATTTTGTTTTGGTGAGGAAGATTGTCCCTGAGCTAACATCTGTTGCCAACCTTCCTCTTTTTGCTTGAGGGAGATTGTCCCTGAGCTAACATCTGTGCCAATCTTCCTCTATTTTGTGTGTGGGATGCCGCCACAGCATGGTGTGATGAGCAGTGCAGGTCTGCGCCTGGGATCTGAATCTGTGAACCCAGGGCCACCGAAGTGGAGCACACAAACAACCACTACGCCACCGGGCCGGCCTCCTGACTCAGTTTTGAGGTCCCTCACAGGAGGCCTTCCTTATCTGCCCCCCAGTCTCTCCATAGCTCACCAGCTGGGGTCCACAGTGACCCGTTACCTGTTCTAGAACTGTCCCCACTGTTGGCAGGGACTTAGCCACGTTCGTCATCACAACCTCTGAGATCAGGGGATCAGCCGGTGAGAACCAGGTCTGCCAGTTACCGAGGCCCAGTGGCCCCAACCTGCTTCTCCCCCAGGCTCAGCCCTGAGCCTGCAGTTGCTCTGCCCAGAGGCTTGGGCTCCTCTCTCCCCATCCCATCAGATACAGGTGGGCTCAGCGGGTGAACTTTTCTCCAGCCTCCAGCCCCAGGCCGGGCCACCCCCATGTCCCTTGGACAGGCAACCACATGCACTTGAACAGAGGGAGGGCTTGGAGTCACCCTTCCCATACCTGATCCTGGTGTGGCCGCCTGCTCACGAGACCAGGCTGCCGTGCTGCCCCACACGGGGCTCCATTGGACCACCCGCGTCTCACCTCCCTGGTGCTGCCACCTCTGCCTCCCAAATGTGCCTGAAGGAACCTGTGTGTGATGACCCGGCCTCCCACAGAACCCCAGGGACTGGTTGGGCAGCATCTGGCCGCCATGTAGTCGTGTAACGCCAAGCCACAGTTGGCAGCAGGACTCACAGCTCAGGGAGGCACTGAGCAGCCGCGGGACAGTCAGGGAGCAGGGATGGGGTGGGGAGGCATGGACAGTCCAGGCGGACAGCCTTGGGGGGGTTCTCAGGCAGCAGCCCCTCTTCGACGTCATTCCAAACTTCTTGGGGCCTTTTTCTCCTTTCCTCCGTGGACAGATGTGGAGATCCAGCCCTGTGCCAGGACAGACAGCATCCATGGCCGGGGCCTGGGGTCTGCCAGGACTCCGGAGATCTCTGTTCTCTGCGGGACTAACCACTGTGGCTGGGCCCCAGGCCCCTGTGTCTGGACACTGGGAAGCTGGAACTGGCTTTGATTGCAGTGGTCTGAGGATGCAGGGCAGGGGTCTCCCTCGGCCTCTGGAGCTGCTTTGATAGGTCCTAGAGTGGACAGGTGCCAAGAATGGACTTGAGAAGTTTCTTAGACACTGAGGCAGTGTCGTGCTGCCCTCCCTTTTTATCCAGAAGTCATTGTGGAGCAAATAAGAATCTCACCAGGAATTGTTGTGATTCCTGCCTTGGTCACTGCAGTGAGCACTGACCATCAGGCTTACCTCTGCCAAGTTCACTGAGCTGCTCACTGGCTCCGTCTGCAGCCAGGTGACCAGGGCTCCCAGGTTCTAAGAGGGCAGCATGACGGGCAGGTGGAGCAGTGCTCAGAGTGAGGTCTGGGCAGCCCCAGAGTGGCTCAGGGAGACATCCCAGTGGTCTGGGTGAGAGCCAGCATGTGGGGTGGCTGCCAGCACACTCAAAGGGACGTGAGGGGCACCTGGCAGGGCTGGGAGCAGGTCAAAGGGGATTCTTGTGTCCTGGGGACAGATTGTCGTCTCCTTGCTTCCCGGCCACAAGCTCTGGGGAGGAACGAGGATGGGCGAGGCGGGCAGAAGGGCAGATTTGGGAAACAGACCCACACTTTCTCTCTGCTGGATTGGGCCACGCAGGAAGCAGCTGGGCCTGTGTGGGGGCTCTTTCTGAACTGGGAGATCTGTCCCCTGCTCTGTCCTGAAAAAAAGGAAGAAAAGGCAGCTGTTGCCCAAGCTCTCTGTCATGTGAGACTCTGCGGTCAGAGCTCTGTTGGGTCAGGAAGGCTGGATCTCACTGCCTCCACCAGGGAGGGTGTGGTGTGGGTCGTCTCAGCCCTGGAGTGATCCTGTGCTGTGATTTGTGACACCCTCGCCTTTATGCCCGGCCCTCCCCTGCCTCCTCCTGCGGTAAACCTTGGCAAGCTCCTCCTGTCCTCTTGGCCCGCCCGTCTTTCAGGGATGAGGCAGTGTCTCACCTCCTCCAGGAAGCCTTCCCCCTGACCCGGCTGCACTCGCTGTTTGCTGCGGGGTTGAGTCCCAGTACTGACCGTGCCTGTGGCTGGGAAACGCCACCTGCTTTGGGGAGGGTCTCACCTTCCAAACGCCTGGTCTCCTGTCGGGGGTCGGGCTGGCCACGGCAGGGCCAGCACATGGTCCAGGCGCTTCCCCTGGGACTCAGGCACTGAGTTTGCAGACAGGCTGGAGGTGCCTTTTGAGTCCCCTCCTGCCCCCCTGCCCCATGAAAGCTGCCCTTTTGCTGTCCCTTGCACTCGGCCCCTCCACGGCTCTGGGCCCACCCTGCCTCCTGCCCTTGTCCACCTGAGCGTCCACCACAGGCACTGAGTGTCTACTGAGTGTCCCCCCAAACATGCTCTTCTGCCTGGCCCACCTGGGCAAACTACACGTCAGTGGGACTGGGGGCCAGGGCTGCTGGCTGCCCTCACCCCGGCCCCCCTTCCTGCCCCTGTGCTCCATGTCCAGTCTAGGCCCCTTCACGCCCACCTGCCACACAGTGCCCCCCGGCACGGCGAACGTCCACCTCCTGCTGACAGCCCTCCTTGGACGGTCAGCCCTGGTGGAGCTCGCTGTCTGGCATGCTCGCACCAGGCTGTTGGCCTCCAACTGCCCCCAGCACCAGGCCTACAAAGACAGCGCTGGTCCGCAGCCTGGGCACCCTGACCCCCGGGCGCCATCCCAGGGGGTGACTGGGTGAAGACCCCAGCCCTTACAGGACTGCTGGGCACTTTCTCTCCCTCAGGCTGGCTCGCCACGCCTGGGACAACAGGTGGCTATGGGATCTATGGCGCCTGACCTGGGGCTGACGCCAGTGTGTGTCCCACAGCTGTGGCTCAGCTTCGCGCCTGTGGCTGACAGGATCGTCCAGTACTTCCACCTCTCCACTGAGCAGATCAACTGGCTCTCGCTGGTCTACCTTGCAGTGTCCATCCCATTCGGCGTGGTGGCCATTTGGGTTCTGGACTTTGTCGGGCTCCGCTGGGCGGTGAGTCAGACTCCACACCAGGGCCCTCTGTGGGACGGAGCAGAGTCACCGAGTGTGGGCTAAAGAGCCACCGCCTCCTCTCCAGGCCAGGGTCCCCAGGCAGAGCCATTGGGGTGGTAGGGCGGAGGTTGGGGTGCTGGGAGGGGAGGCCGGGCTGGCCGGGCAGCGCTCCTGACCCCATCCCTGCAGACCATCCTGTGTGCATGGCTGAACTTTGCTGGGAGTGTGATCCGCAGCCTGTACTGCATGGACATCGGGACCCAGGACCCATTTGCCTTCCTCATGGGTGGGCAGAGCCTCTGTGCCCTGGCCCAGACCCTGGTCATCTTCTCTCCAGCCAAGCTGGCTGCCTTGTGGTTCCCCGAGCACCAGCGAGCCACAGCCAACATGATCGGCACCATGTGTGAGTCGCACTGATGGTCAGCTCTGGCTTAGTGCATGGGTCCCAGCATCTCTGCACTCTTAGCTCTCAGAGGGCAGAGGGCTCCACCTGTGGGCTGGGGACCAGGCCTGGCCACAACTGAGCTGACGCGTCTCCATCTGTCCATCCAGCAAACCCCCTGGGCATCCTGGTGGCCAACCTGCTGTCACCCGCCCTGGTGAAGAAGGAGGAGGATATCCCCTTAATGGTGAGGGAGCTCATGAGGCACACCCACACATGTGGGTGCATGTGCGTGTGTGTGTGTGTATGTTTATGTGTGGTATATGCACGTGTGTTTGTGTGATGTGTGCATGTGTCTGTGCGCACGTGTGTGCATGCATGGTGGGCTTGCACGTGCATGAATGTGTTCACACAAGTCTGAGTGTGCACCTGCCCCTCCCTGTGGCCACATGGGTGAGTACATTCGGTGCATGTGGGATTTCTCCGTGTGTGCAAGTACTGGGCACTTCTCAGTGTCAAGCGCGGCTCTGGGGACCAGGCTCCCTCGTGGGGAGAGGCCTCCCTTGAGGTGAGAGGCTGGCTGGAGCAGGAGGAGGCGTTTGTGGGGAGGGAGACCAGGGACCAGCAGAGAAAGGCCCTAGGGTGGACTTGAGGTCAAGAGGTGGGAGCTGCAGCCAGAGGCCAGTGTGTCCACTGAGTAAGGGGAGGAGGAGGGGAGGGTCATCCCAGGTGGCAGGTGGTGCAGCACGTGGTTGCCTTTGGCGCAATGGAAGACCCACGGTGTCTAAGTAGGAGAGTGATTCAGTCTGGTCCAGAACAACCCGGAGACGAGGGATGTGGCCAGAGTGTCTGGGGGAGGGCTGGGGCTGTGGTCCAGAACAACCCAGAGACGAGGGGTGTGGCTGGAGTGTCTGGGGGAGGGCTGGGGGCTCTGGTCAGGTGGGAGAGCAGGGGCAGGCTTGAACTGAGGGTCTGGAGGTGCAGTGAGGGACAAGGGGCTTCCAGCTGTGCAGCTGGGTGAGTGTTGGGGTCATTCACGGAGGCGGGAAGTGAGGTCCCGTTGGCAGTTGGATGAGTGAGTCTGGGGGAGGGTCGGGCTATGGCTGTCCCTGTGTCACTGTCACTGTGTCACTGTGTGTGGAAGTCATCTTTGGGCAATGTTTTGAAAGCTGGGGTTCCAAATGAAGCAAAGCAGAGCAGGCCCATCATAGGCCCTGGGGCTCACCAACGTCCTCCTGGGGATGGAGAGTTGGGGCGGCCGGCCAGGGAGGCAGTGTGCCACCTGGAGCCCAGAGCAGCGGGCGTGAGGTGCCTGTGCATGTGTGCGTGTGTCCACCACGGCCTGTGCATGTGCACACACACACACGTGTCCAGTAATGCATACCCACTCCCCAGCTGGGCATCTACATCATCCCTGCTGGCCTCGCCTGCCTGCTGGCCACTGCGTGCCTCTGGGAGAGCGTGCCCCCCACCCCGCCTTCTGCTGGGGCTGCCTGCTCCACCTCGGAGAAGTTCCTGGATGGGCTGAAGCTGGTCAGTACTGTGGGATCCCAGAGCTGGGGTGGATCTGGGGACCGAGGAGGATAAGGGGCAGGACAGGCCCTCTAGGAGCCCTTGGGTGTCCTTCTGGGGCTCCTGGGCTGAGCGGCCCCTTCCCCTGCAGCTTGTGCGGAACAAGGCCTACGTCATCCTGGCTGTGTGCTTCGGGGGTGGCATCGGCATCTTCTCCAGCTTCTCAGCCCTTCTGGAACAGGTCCTCTGTGTGAAGGGCTACTCCAATGTGAGTGCTGGCCCTGCCCTGGGCCCCACCCCGCAGGCTGTCTGCCTCCCCCTCTCTCCCGTCTGTGGCCATGGAGTGGCCCAGGACCTCCCCAGGTGCTGCGGTTCCACAGCTAGACAGGGTGACCTCCTGTTGTGGTGGGCAGCATTGAGCCGCTGTGTGAACAGTCGTGTCAGATGCCAGACTTGGTCTGCAGACTGTGGGGTGGTGGCCTGGGGAGGGGGTGGTGCCCAGTGGTACCAGGACTTTTTGTGCTGTTTGTCATGGTCTTTCCCAATGACCCACCCAGGACGGCTCCCATCTTGTGGGTGTCCAGGGAAGGGTCCACGTCTGATGTTTGGAGATGCAGAGGAGAGGGCCTTGCTCTGCTCTAAGCGTCTCGGGCCATGCCTTCTGCTGTCTGGCATCAGCCCTGGGTGTGGGGTTCGGGCTGGCATGTTCCCAGTTCTTCAGGGGCACATGGGCACTGAGGGGTGTCTGTAGCAACCAGGCCTTTCCCTTTACAAGTTGTTGAGTTCCTGGGGTGGAGGTGACACAGGGAAGGGGCACCTCCAGGGGAGGACATGCCACAACCCCCTGGCTCTACACACAGCCAGCGGTGCAGCCGAGTTTTCTGAGTCGTCCTGCCTGGGACTCAGGTGCTGCTCAGTGACCCTGTGTGGGCTCTCTGGTGACGGCGTACATCCTAAAGATGAGCGCCTCCTCCTGGGGCCCTGGTGGCACTATCCTCTGATGACCAGGTGCCCCTGGCCTCCTCTCCTCCTCCAGGAATTTGCGGGCTTCTGTGAGTCTCTCTTCATCGAATTTGGGGTGCTGGGGGCACTGGTTCTCGGCCTGTACGTGGACCGGACCAAGCATTTCACTGGAGCCCTCAAGATCGGCCTCTGTCTGACCTCCATGGTCAGTGTGGCCTTTGCCCTGGTGAGAGTCCCCTCGAGCCGAGACCACCCTGCAGGGGTAGGAGTGTGGTGCCCTGGGGCCAGGCAGCTGGCAGCTCAGCCAGAACAGACATCTAGATCGTCTTAGGCCCCGGCCCTGCCTGCTGGGTTGGTCTCCGGTTGGGATGGGCTCCCTGGTCCCCCAACTCCAAGTGCTGCTGAGATGGGGTGCTGGTGCAGGCCTGGCTGGGTCTGGTGGTCTAGGCTGCAGCATGTCTGACTGCTGCCCCATCCCTCTGTGTGGCTTGCTGCTTCCAGGTGTCCCAACTTCAGGGACAGACTGTTGCCCTGGCCGTCATCTGCTCACTGTTTGGGCTCTTTGGCTTCTCTGTGGCACCCGTAGCGATGGAGCTGGCGGTCGAGTGTTCCTTCCCAGTGGGTGAGGGTGCGGCCGCGGGCCTGATCTTCGTGCTGGGGTGAGTGTCTGTCCCCCTGCCACTTCCCTGGGGACCCCAGAGACCCTCCCCTCGCCCACCCCAGGCCACACAGCGAGTGACTCTGTGTGGGCTGCTCTGTCAGGGGCCAACATGTTCTGAGCACCCATGAAGGCCTGGCCTGGCCGCTGGGGCCTGCCCTGACTGGAGCAGTGCACTGTCCTCAGAATGACCGCTGGCCCTGTGGGCGGTGAGAAGTGCCCAGGGCAGGGCTGAGGGCCTCGTGGCTGTCCAGGCAGGCCGAGGGTGTGCTCATCATGGTGCTGCTGACAGCCCTGACCGTGCGTCGTGCAGAGCCGTCCTTCTCCACCTGCCAGGATGGCCAGGGCCCACTGGACTGGAAGGGTGAGTGCCCGGACTGCGGGAACCCCCGAGAGCACTGGCGAGGAGGTCAGGGCCTGGCTGCCCCCTGACCCTGGCTCCAGCTCTGGGAACCTCCCCTCCACGGGCCCTTTTTTCTTGGTGCCTTTTGCTCACCTTGATGGGCAGGTGCAGGGCACCCATGGGGCAAGGGCAGGATGGAGTCAGAGGTCGACAGCCAGAGCCCCTGGGCTCAGCATGGAGGGAGCAGCCCTGAGGCCTTGACAAAAGCCAGCCTCTAAACCCCCTGTGTGAGTCGTTTCAAAATGAGATCAGAGAAAGAGAGAGAGAGCGAGAGAGACAGAAGGAGAGACAGAGAGAGAGAGAGACAGAAGGAGAGACAAAGAGAGACAGAGACACAGGGACACAGAGAGAGAGACAGAGATAGAGAGAGAGAGACAAGAGAGACAGAGAAAGACAGAGACACGGAGAGAGACAGACACAGAGACAGAGAGAGACAGAGAGAACGAGAGAGAGAGACAGAGAGCCACAGAGATACAGAGACACAGAGAGACAAAGAGATAGAGAGAGAGACAGAAGGAGACAGAGACACAGAGACCAGAGAGAGACAGAGAGAGAGAGAGAGAGACAGAAACAGAGAGAGACAGAGAAGGAGAGACAGAGAGGGAATCGCGAGTGGGGACGGCCACCAGAGAGGTGGTGCTGCACGTCCACGACCCGAGACCCGGTGCAGTGACCTTGGAGTTCATAGCTGGGTCTGTGAACATGCCCTTGGGGCCTGTTGGGGCTGGGCTGGGATCTGTTTCCGGGGTCACTCTGTAGTTGTGGTTAGTGGGGTCTGTGGCCACCCCGGGTCCTGTACGGGGAGTTCTGGTTCTTGGGCGAGCCTCGGGGCAGAACTGGGCTGTTTCTCCCCAGTGTCCGTGCTGCTGATGGCTGGTCTGTGCACCCTCTTCACCTGCTTCTTGGTGTTCTTCTTCCATACCCCGTACCGGCGCCTGGAGGCCGAGGCAAGCGCTAGCCCCTCCATCCAGGAGGACGTGTGCCCGGCAGTCGAGGACCACACACCCCACCTGGCAGCCATGCCTGAGGCTCTGCCTTGGGACCCCACGACCCCCAGCACAGATGCTGCAGGAAGCTCAGGGGCAGCTCATTCCTAGAGCCTGCTCTCCTGACCCTGCCTTCCTCCTCCTGGGAGCCCCCAGCCCCCAGAACCCCCAGGATTTGCAGAGAAGTCACAAGGAATCCAGCAGAGGTCCAGAGGCCAAGGGAGCAGTTGGTCTGTCGAGAAGACGCCTGGGGACGTGAAGGGGAGGCCGGGAGAGGCCGGCCCTGGTCATCTTGGCTGTGCCAGCATGGCTGAGCCTGGGACAGGGTGTCAGCATCCTGCAGATGCCACAAGGACTTGGGGTCCTCGGCACACCCATGGCATGGCAGAGTGGCCCAGGAGGACCTTATGGCTGTAGCAAGAAGAGCTGCTGCTGTGTGGACAAGCAGCCACTGACCAGGCAGGATGCCCAGTGGTCAGGCCAGACTCAGGGTGGCAAGTGCAGGGGCAGTGTATGGGGGGGTATGAGGGGCATGGGCTGAGGGGGAGCTGCACGGGTTGGGGGTCCTGAGGGCCCCCAGCATGGATGAGTCTGGAGTGGACAGGTGGAGGAAGGCCTTCCTTGAAGGAGCCCATCCCAGAGCGTCTCTCAACCTCTGCTGACCACTGAGTGACCAGACCCCCAGCCTGGGTGCTAGGACAGGTGTGGGGGGCAGGTGGGGCCAGGCTGGGCTGGGAGGGTGAAGCAGATGGAGGGCCCCACAGGCAGACACTCACCCTGCAGACCCTCCCACTCCCAGGTGGACACCTCCTCCTCCCCCTACAGATACTCGCAGGCAGGTTTGTGGGTTCATGTTTATTGAACTGGCCGCAGCCCAGGTGGGGGCGGGGGACACCCCTCACTCCTTCTCCTCCCCGTGGGTGATCACGTAGCTCAGCGCCTTGTAGTCCAGGCTGCCCATAGCATCCACGGTCGCAAACTGGAACATCTGGTTGACCTATGAGCAGGTTTGATGGGGGAGTCAGGCCCAGGCAAGAGGGAGGGAGCAAAAGGGTCCCCAAGGTGGCAGCTGGCAAGTGAATTACAGGCCCTGAACTCCAGCCGGCTCCAGCCTTGTTTCTGTGCTTGGGGAGGAGAGGGGGGCACTGCAGGGCAAGGGGTGGGCTGGGGCTCAGCCACTCGGCGTCCCCCTCGCCTGAGGGCCATGCATGTCCTTCACGGAGGGCTCGGGGAGAGCAAAGGCGGTGGGTGGGGGCCGAGAGGTCATCTTGTCGGCCTGTGACATCAGCAGCCGCTTGATGCTGAGGACAAGGAGCGGGGAGCCCAGTTAGGCTTCTCTCAAGAGCTGGAGGGGCCGCCCAGGGAGCCCTATGACCAGTCAGTCAGTCCACACTGTCTGCTGCTCACAGCGCAGGTGCCCAGGGAGCCTTGCCTGACTTGCACACTCAGGGGTCCCTATACCTGGGGGGCTCTGCCCAGGGGGGTGGAGACTGAGGGAGATTAGAGGCAAGTGTCTGGCACAGCAAATATGCCCCTTCCCAGGGCTTGGTCGAAGTAGCCCCAAAGGGGCTAAAGTCCCAGTGATGTCTGAGTGGCAGTCACCACCCAGGTCACTGGGAGCCGGGCCGTGCGTGGGCAGGACTGGTTTTGCCCTTGGTTACCCTGAGGGACTTCAGGATCTGGGGGTGACTGCTCAAGTCCCGGAAGCTGGGGGTGGGCTTGCTGTCCCTCAGACGTGGGGAGATGCCCCAGGTGTTACAGCCACACTCACTAGTCCTTGTTGACGTTGCCCTTGCCGTTGGGGTCCAGCATCTTGAAGGCGTTTAGGATGGTCTCCTCGGTGTCCGTACCAAGGGCGTTTAGGGCCCGAGGCCTGCTCCCTGCCGCCCGGGCTTTGCCTCTGTGCACGCCGTGCCCTCGGCCAGAATGGCCTCCTGCTCCTGAGCACCTCGGAGCCCCTGGAGCCCCTGCCCTGGGGGACTATTCTCAGGGTCCCCAGGGTCCCGCCAGGCCCAGAGCTGGGGTGAGTGCTCAGCGAGTGAGGGACAGAGGCCACCACCAGTAGGAGACAGGAGGTGGCCCCACAGGTATGAGACCAGAATGCCAGGTCCTAGGGCTTTTCAAGAGATCGAAAATTTGGATTTTTCTTTGAAACGTCTGGATTTCTAAGTGTTAGGAGCTAACTACAGACACACACACACACACACACACACACACACATGCACTATGTTGGCACACCGGCCTGCGCTCACCGCTCAGCTTCTCCCCAAACGTGTTCAGGAACGTGGTGAAGTTGTGGGCCCCAAGGCCTCCTTGAGCATGACATCCAGCTCACCGTCCTTGATGTTGATTTTGCCTGTCACAGACGCGGGGGTCACTGGGCAGGAATGTCACCCAGCCGTCCTTGTTGACTTGTCCACTGTCCCCACGGGCAGGTGCCCCACACGACCGCCCATCTTCGTTGTTCTCCAGGTGACCCCAGAATAAATGGGGTGTCGGTGGGGAGGGCAGTGGGCCAGGCTGTACTGCGCCCAGGAAAGGACCAGCCTTCGGCTCCTCAGAGGAGCACGAGGGGCCTCCACACCTCGCCCAGCTCTGTTCCTGGGCCTCCTTACTGTGTCTGGGGGCAGGAGGGCAGGCCTCCCCCATGCAATTGTGTCCCTTGGGGCATCACCACACCCACCCCCAAGCCCTGGTCCCAGCCTCCCCGCTCCAGGATGCCCATGCTGGGCTGTGCCACCACTCCCGTCTTGCCCTGGTGCTGTCCTCTGCCAGCCCTGATCAAACTGGAGGGCAGTTTCTCCTCGGGGGAGGCCCGGCCCACCTCCTCACAGCCTGCAGGACCTCAGATCAGGCTCGAAGGCTGAGGAGCAGAGCCAGGCTCTCAGGCTGGACGACATTCCGCAGTGGGCTCTGGCGGAGTTCTGCCCGGGGCACCTACCCAGGGAGGCGTAGGTGTCCTTCACATCCTCCTTGTTGATGAAGCCATCTTGGTTCTGATCCATTAGTGTGAATGCCTGGAACCGAGGCCAGGGTCACGGGGCTGCTGGCCCGCCGCACCTCGTGAGGACAGGCGCCCACTCTTACTGGCTCTGGGGCAAGGCTCACGTGGGGTCTTCTGGTCACTTGCGTGACGATTCCCAGGGGACCCCTCGGGGAGGAGCGTCTGGGTGGAGGGTTCCCGGGACAAGGGCAGAGCCTTACCTCCTTGAACTCCTGGATCTGGGTCTGCTCCAAGTTGGAAAAGACGTTGAAAGATGCCCGAAGGGCCCCTGCTTCCTTCTTCTTGGTCTTCCTTCTGGCCTGAGATGAGAACACCGAGGCTGAGGGTCCCCCAGGCTGGCTGGGGCTCTCCTTGGGGGGCACCCAGGTGTTTTGGGAGGCTTAACGAAGAGGATGGGTGGACGAGGCACTTGGGCTCCAGGGTTCCTGGGCTGCGTCCTGGGCTGGGGCAGCTGCAGGTGCTTGGCGTGGGCACAGGGAGCCCGAGAGGCCCTTCAGAGCAATGCCCAGGCCTCATCCTGAACTGTGCGCTGCTCGGTCTGTGGTCTAGCCAGGAGTCAACTGGGCCTCTGAGTGTCCGGGGAGCAAATGGACTGTGCAGGCGGCCAGCAGGCAGGTGGGCTTGTTCCTGGGATCCCGCCAGGACCCCCATCTTTCGGCCCCAGATTGTCACCGGGGCAGCCATGGGCACTTATCTCCCTTCCCCCCAGCACACACACACCCTCACACATGTACACAAACTCAGCTTGTGTGCACGCACACTCAGGCAAAACATACACATGCACGTGGCACATGTGCACACATTCATCCAGTCACACATGCACATACATGCACATACACATGAAAGCATATGTGCACACTCATGCCCACACATGTGTGCACATGTAACACACTCACCATGCCTGGGTCTGCCTGATGCAATGGTCTCTGCCCTCCCTGCCCGTGTCGCTTGTCTTAAGCTCCTGCCCAGTCCCCCGGGACAGTTCAGACTCCGGCTGCCACTCCCTACAAGGACAGGCTCAGGGCCTCCGGGGGACCTGACAACTGCAGAGTGAGCTTTGGCAGCCAGCAGTGACTCAGAGGCCTCCCTCCTCCCCACCCAGCAGGGTCCCCAGCCTCCCAGGCACCTCTTCACCTGCCCCCGCCCTGGAGCCTTCATTCTCCTGGATTCTGTGAATCTCCAGGGCCTCCTGCACGTGGGCCGAGGGCCTGGGGGGCTGCAGGAGCCAGAGGGAGCGGCGCCTCTCCCAGATTTGCACAAAGTCCCTGTGAGGGGCCCTGGCGGCCAGTCACCAAGCATTCCCCCAGCATGTTCTGTGTGCCCTTGCCTCCCTGCCTCAGTGGCAGAGAAGTCCCAGAGCCCCCAACCCCGGCCCTGGGGCCACCCTTCCTGTCCCCATGTCTGGGAGCTCCTTGCCTGGCACATGGGAGGATAACATTTCTGGGATGGAGGGCGGCACAGATGGGCCGGGCTGGGGCCAGCACTCAGCCAGGTCTTCCCACTACACTGTGGCCCCATGGGCAGTCTGGGGACCCGGCCCAAGTGCCTGTTGGCAGTGCCCAAGGTCGAAGGTCACCAGAGTCAGGCTGGATGCCCTGGTCCCTGGTGGAGGGAGTGCAGGGCTGGGGGCAGGAAAGGGTGGGGTCTGCAGGCCAAGCTGGGGGTAGAGCGAAGTGGGCAGGCAGGACTCTGCAGTTTCACACCTGCAGAACGAGCCCTCAGGGCCCGGGGGGCCAGCCCCAGGGATGAGGGGGTCAGGCTGGGTGGGGTCCCTCGGGCACATCTCTGAGCCACGTGGTATTTGCTGCAGAGGTGGCTGCAAGTGTCACAGGGGACCTGCCACAGGGGGCACACCTTGGGCCACATGGTGCCCCTGAGGGGCTGCCACACGCTATCTCAGGGCCAGCTCACCAGGGCTGGCCACAGAGCTCGGGGAGATGGGTGGCAACTCTGAGGGAGACAGAGTATCCCGCAGGTGTGAGCCCCCGAAGAGCAGAAGGCAGCAGAATTGAGAGTGAGGTACTGTCTGGGGCTTCAGCAGTCCCTTAGGCACAAGTCGAGGTGGACCTTGGAGCCTGGGACTGCAGGGTCCTGAAGCAGGAGTCAGGGAGACCAAGGGAGCAGGCTCTGCTGGGTGGTCCTCCCAGGAAGACCCCAGCCCTCTCTGCCAGAGAAGATCCTGGGGTGAGGAAGCTCTTGCTCTGCTGGGGTCTGGGCCTGGGAGTTGGGGGTGGCTGGAGGGGGCAGCCAAGCCAGTGTGGTCCCAGGAAGGGGCTTTGTGAGTCCAGAGGGGCCAACCATGGCCACCCCCTCCCTGGGTGAGGGGCCTGGGGGTAAGGGGCCTGGGGACAAGAGGGCCTAGGGGCACGGGGCCTGCCTTGCGGGCCTGAGGACAAGGGCTTGGGGGGAAAGGACAAGGGGGCCTGGGGGAAAGGGGGCCTGGGGACATGGGGCCCTGGGGACAAGGGGTCTAGTGGCACAGGGAGCCTGGGGGCATCGGGGCTGGGGACAAGAGGGCCTAGGGGCACAGGGCCTGCCTTGGGGGCCTGGGGACAAGGGGCCCCAGGGCAAGGGCGCTGGCCTGCACTCCGGTCACACTTAGTGCTGGGACCCCAGATTCCCTGCCCAGGGCCTCGGGCCCCTTCCCGGCCGTCCTCAGGGCTGACCGGCCGGTGCGCTCCTGGACAGCCCTGGGCGGGGTGGGGCCACGCTCCAGGTTGCAGGTTGGGGCTCCGTCCCGTCCCCGACTTCCCGCTGTGACCGGACAACCTCCAGGGCAAGAGCACAGAGCGCACTCTCGTCTGCACGTGGTAAGCTTGACTCATACTTTTCACTTATTCAGACCTATGGTGCTTGGGCCTCGATGTGCGCTCACCCTGGGCCGAGAACATCAAGGGTCGCGGGGTGGACCCGGCGGGGTGGCCGGGGTCGCACACCAGGATAACCTCCCCGCACCGTCCAGCCATCGCGCATGCGCAGCCGGTCCCGAGGCGCGCGCCGCGGACCTCACGCGCGCCTGGTGACGTCACCCCTGAGCGGGCGGGCGCCGTTCTCCCCTCTGTCCGCCAGAGGGCGCCGCCCCACAGCCGCTCTTCCGACAGCGCCTGCGCTAGCCCGAGTACGCTTTTGCGTCTCCACGGCTTCCCGGGCCCTTGCGGCGTCCTCGGCCCTGGACTGTGCTTCCGGTGCGAAGGTCACGGACAAGATGGTGCCCCCGGTGCAGGTCTCTCCGCTCATCAAGGTGAACCAGGCTTCGTAAGCGCCGCCGGGTGCTCGGCTCCGCGTGGGGCTCGTGTGTGCGACCCCCAGAGCCCGCGACCCTCATCCCGTCCTCCGCCCTCCTCCCCCATCCTCCCGGAGCCCGCGACCCTCAACGGGTCCTGCGGCCCCCTCCCCCATCCTCCCGGAGCCCGCGACACTCACCCCGTCCTCCGGCCCCCTCCCCCATTTTCCCGCGCCTCTCACCCCCGCCCCTCTGACCGCCCTTTCCCCGCAGCTCGGCCGCTACTCCGCCCTGTTCCTCGGCGTCGCCTACGGAGCCAAGCGCTACAGTGAGTGACCGCTGTCCCCGCCGACCGGGTGGCGCTTGGGGCTTTTCGAGCCTGTTCGGCCTCCCCGGGCCCCCAGTAAACCCCAGCGAAGTAAACGCGCCAAGGACGAGAAAGGGGGGGCTTGACCGCTGAGCGCGGCCTGGGCAGAGGTGCATTAGCTTGGGCAGGGGTGCATTATCTCAGGTGTGCATTAACTCGAGCAGGG